TATATATATATATCACGTAATGAGTGATCTCATCTTCGCTTGCCTCTCAATTTGTTAAGGACGTATGTGATTTTCTCCATCGTGAGAACAATGCTCAGGTTGCAAAGCCAATCCATGAAATTTGGACAAGTGGTGCGGTTGACATTAAGTATGCCACGTAAGAGATTTAAAAGCGATATTTTTTCTAAAAATAAAGATACAACAGAAATAAATAACATACCGATTTTATAAAAAATAAATAATCAAGATATGAACTTCTATCTTAATCTACTCCTACTATTTTCTGAATCACACAACCCCCCTGGTATATGAATTAAAGACCCTCGATAGATCTCTAGTAGGGATTGAGATACAATCAGCATCTTAGTGTAAAATTGAGGGACTCAACTAATTGTTAGGACCAAGTTGACATTAAGAGGGGGAGGGGGGGGGGTGAATTAGTGTTTACATGAAAACGTCGATTTTAAAACTTCGACAATAAAAATGTAAATCGACTTTTATAGTGGTTCGGTCGTCGTGACCTATGTCCACTCCCGATTCCTTAAGGTCACTGACTTCCACTACCCGATCTTCTTTCAATTGGCGAATATCAACTATCCTTTTACACTCATTTTCTCTTTTTTATAGGTTTAGGAGATAATGTTTACAACCACTCACCTCTCTTTTAAACTTCACTCAACACTTAGAACTTGAGAGGAGTTCTCATAATATTAAAATAGCATTTTCCTTCTTTTTTGCTCTTAGTTCATGTGTCCACTTACTAGAGATGAGTGCAATTTTTATAGGCCCAAAATGGATTCAAATTTGGAGACAAAACGATCTCATCTTGAGTTTTCGGGGTACTGGCGATACCACTGCTTAGTCTGGTGATACTATCGCCTGACACACTGACACTAGATGGTACTATCGCCCAGTCTAACGGTACCACCGTTTGACATAGTCTGAGAGACTATGTTTGAACGGTACCACTATCCAGTCTGATGATATCACTGACTAACACAATCTTAAAGACTATGCTTGGACGGTACTATTATCAAACCGCTCAATTCTGTTCTGATTCAAGCATAATGGTCCCCTAATTAAGTTGGCATAATTCCAACCCAAATACAACTTAAAACTATTTTAATCTAGACAATTATCTCATTCTTTCTTAGTGATAAGTCCTCAAGTATATCCATATTCGAGGACATAATTAACACATATACTCTCGCTAATATGTATTATGTCCGTAATGTTGCCTATTGTATAAAGGCACAATAGTGGTATGTTGGTTTCGTGAATGAAATGGTCGTCGTCATAACTATAGTGTTGTTGTCGGGGACAATGGTTGTGCACCGTAATGAGATGTCACGCTCTCTTGGAACAGTGTCTCTCGCCTCTTAATAGTAGCCATTAAATGCACCATTATTCATTGTTCCATTATTCCATCAATCATGTGTCTTTTCCCTCATGAGAACACATTTGCTATAATCTTTACGTGCTTTGCTGATTGATTTGGTGGCGAAATTCCTACTAAGTTACGTAGGAAATGTCCATGTGTATGTCCGGTTGTCCACAGCACGTAACACAAACTGCACAAGCTTGGCATTAAGCTCTGGCCAATGGAGCGTTGTGCGGAAGGAAACACTCTTCTCATAAGCTCCAATGGCGTTAAGATAAGGATCGAGGAGATGAGTTGAAGGTGATGTGGCTGTCATGTGGATGACAAGGAGGACGAGAGGCGAGTTTATCTATGTAATCAAGACAAGTAGAAATGTCTCGAGATGAGCTCACATAAATCTAACTCATGAAATCAAAGATCAAATAATAAGTAATATAACATATTTTTGGCATCCACCTCATGCGACACATCAGCTGCCACAACAGACTCGGTGTGGCGTCCCTAAGCCGATGTATCATGTCAAGCTAACTTAGCACCATGAGACCGAAACCAACTAGCCGCCTGACATCACCCCCTGCACCCACTTTGCTTGAGGTTGTATTAAGCGATGTGATTATATATCGGATCACACGAGAGGCGGGAAGCAACTTAGAAAGAGACTGAATCGAGTAGCTGAGATGATGCCTATACCAAACGCACGAGCTGATCACTTGTGATGTCAGCAGGCATTAAACCCCTACATACGATGATGATTAGGGATCATTAAAATTGTCATGTGACACATGTACAACGTTAGTGGGGGGATGATGCAACATATTTTGGCATCCACCCCACGTGGCACATCAGTTGTCACAGTAGACTCGACATGATGTTCCTAAGCTGACGTGTCGCGCCAACCCAACTCAGCATCATGAGCCTAAGGCCAGCCAACCGCCTGATACCATCCCTCTGCACCCACTCTGCTTGAGGTTCTACGAGATGGCACGACCATGTACTAGGCCACATAGGAGATGGGAAGCAGTACCAAATGAGACTAAATCAAGTAGATCAAACGGTGCTTGCACCCAATGCACGGGCTGGCTACTTGCGGTGTTACCAGGCATTAAACAAATGTGTACGATGACGACTAAGAATCATTAAAGCTACCATGTATGACCATACGTAGGAACATGTGTAAAAGCTACAATAGGAATAGAGCTAAGGTCGGACCTCAAACACACACTCTAACTTGCTAACTTAAAACATTCGAGGGTCGAGTCAAGAATCTCCTTCTTGATTCTGACCTATGTGCAGACACCTAGCAGACAGTTAAAGGAGTGATCTTCAACCTCTACGGGAGAACAAGACCTATACCTCCTCAACTAGATCTCGGATTAATATGTTCCAGCTCAAAGATCGTACTAGTGATCTTGCGCACTCCGGATGGGCCAACCCGTGTTGCACATCGATCTCGGCATAAATGTTCGCAATGAATAAGAAGACAAAAGAACGAAGTAATATATTTCGGTAATATCTGTGATGGCAATCAGGCGACTGGCCGAATGATGCAGAAGCCTAATGGACAGCGGAGCTGCACGCCACTTCTCAGGCCCTCCTTCACCAACTAAATGTTCGTAGGACCACTTAGATGACAGTAAGATGGGATTCCGGCTTCCAGTCGGCTGTTGATCGCTTGCCTTCGTGCGCGTTATCCTCCTTTCTGCGTAACTCTTTATGGCTCTCACAGCAACCGTGCGCTCGCCATCAGTGCAGCCTTCTGTCACACGGGTGAGAGCTCTTAATACAACCATGGGTGTTCCTTCGTCTCACGGCGGAGCGCAGACGGAGGAGAAGCGGCGGCGCCTCCACGCGACGGAGGCGGCGAAGGTGGTGAAGGAGATCATCACGGCCCCGCCGGGGGTGTGGCGCGGAGCTCACCTGTCTTGGCGGTCGCAGGGATCACGTCTGTCTCGTGTACCATTGGATGTCACGTGGGGCCCACCTCTCTGCCGAGATGTAATCTGCGACACGAGCTCTTATTTACCCTGTCTTCCGCAAACCTCACCTGAGACAAGAAGCCAACGCAAGACGACGGAAACCGGTGGGACCCGCGCTCCTCCCGCCGCACGTTTCCCGGTTGAATCCGCTACCTCATCGAAATCCTCCGCTCGTGACAGCGCATGTAGCAGGCGAGCTTTTGCCACTCCGCGGAGAATCCTATGACGTCCCTTCACCGTAACATGTTCCCATGTTTTACCACCAGCACGTCCTTTACACGTGTGCAATATTATGCTTCCGCGAGATATCTTACCGTCCCTAAAATCCGCTACAAAGATGTGCCCCTTCTTAACCATTAGACGTACGCCACGCAGTATATGATTAGCGGGACCCCCTTTTGTACGTGGAACACAACAAAGTTTGCTGCTTCGTTCAAGATATTCGATCCGGTAGAAGAAGAGTCCGCCACCGAAACCCGAGAGATTCTTTCATGACGAAAATGCCCTTCCGTGTGGCGAGACCTTTTTCCCGTTATCGCGAAATTCTCGATGTCATTTCAGTCACTTCAGACAAAAAAACAATATTTTAACAGGAATATTACAAGAAAAATAACGATGCTAATTGAGAACTTCGCTGTGCTGCTTCCGAGTTCCAACAGGTCATTGGAGTCGTTCGGCTCTTAAATATTCGCGTGGGGATTCCGAGGGAAAGGCGAAAGAGCCGAGGATGCCCGCATTAGGGTTGGGATTTCAAGGGGAGGTGGTGGAGGAGGAGGCGCGGAGGAAGGAGGGGCGGCAGCTGAGGTCGGGGGGCCGGCGGAGGCGGAGGCGAGGCGACGATGGCAGCCCCGACACCTTGATCTATTACTCCTCCGACCACCACTCTTGCAGCGGCGACGGCGCGTTTGGTGACGCCGGAGGCAGTCTCTTCTCCTCCGGCGCCAGGAGCGCCGGCAACCCCTGCTCCTTCGGATCCGACCACGAAGCCGTCTTCTCCATCTTGGTTTTCTCTCTCACTTGGCTCTCTCATCCATCTCTCTCAGAAGCCTATATTTTCCGACCCATTTCTCGTATCGTTTTGGAAAAGGAAATGTGGTGGGGTTTAATGACACTCCTTTTTCTACAGTTCCTTAGATTCGTTCTTGAGACCAAAAAATGGGAGCTTTCCGGAAAGAAGTCAAAAGCGTCTGTCAACAACTTCATTTTTCTACAGCAAATCTGAATAAAATAGTGAGCATGAATCGAATTATACTGATAACATAAGCCCAGGGGAGGGGAGAGGACCGAGAAGAAGAGGAACTATCTGTGTATTTAAGCTTCTTAAATGTAGTCTGTTTTGCTTCCTGGTTTGTTCTATAATTACATTTTTCCTCAGCAATTCTTTTTCAGAAAGAGAAAGATGAGACGCATTAATTTGACCGAGCAGTTATCAGATCCGAGTTCTGATTATTCCTTTTCATTTGGGGATTACATATTCATAAAAGCTTCATTAGAATATCGCGAAGAAAATGGAATCGGGCACAAGAAAAGATTATTAAAGCAAAAAAAAACCAAGCAAGAACGCGAGGAGTGAAAGAAGCGAAGAGCAAGAGGCTTGTGAAAACCAAAAAGACAAGATTTACATCTTTTGGGTCAAAAAGACAACTTTTACATATTTTTTTCCTTTCCAAATCGAGCTTTTTTTTACTGCTGTAGCTGACTTGTAAGGACAGTGTTGGCTTTTCTCTGCGTTAATAGAGACGCATCCGCCTTTTTGTGATTGATACAGCAGCCCTTGGCGGGACGCGAGGCCGCCGGCGCTGGCCGTCCCGCGCACCCAGATCTAGAAGGCAGGTCCTCCCCTCCTCACCATTCCCTAGGTATCCTCACCCCGCCCCGATGCCACAGCCTTCAGCCACCTAATCCCTCCAAAGGTGAGTGTTACACTTACTTTTAGTGCCACCATTCTCAGCGGCCGAGATGGTGTTCCCCATCTTGTCTTACCCTTCCAAAAGGGCAATCGACCAATTTTCTGAAGCCTTTCTCAATTGTTGCAGTGCCAGCCAAGGACTTGGAACAGAGAGAACCGGAAGAAGTAGAAGAAGAAGAAGGGAAGGAGGAGGATGATGTAGTAGTCGAAAAACAAGAATCTCTGAAGCCATCAAAGCATTCCTTATCTAACGCTTTCAAAGGTATATGGCATTCCCTTGTTCGTTGACCACATTTGAGAGTTGCGAAATTTACTTCCTTTTTGTAGAATGCCAGAGCCGGCGGTGCAGATCTGAAGCTGTTACTTTACCCAGTAGGAAGCCGTGCAGGCGGCGGCCTGTCTCCCTCGATTTCAACGGCCAAACCGCTGATTTGTCGGTCCTGTCGCCGCGGTTCTTCGTTGGTGGCGTACCAGGGATGAAGAAGAGCTCCGCTACCTCATCTCGAAGTAGGTCCGGCACGTTCCCAAGTCCCGGGACGCCGAACTACCGGCACGGCGCTGGAGCGGCTGCATACCAGAAGGGATGGAGTTCGGAACGAGTCCCTCTGCCGGCCCATAACAATCGGAGATACGGGGGCAGCGGCATGTTGTTGCCATTCGCCAATGGAAGGGCTTTGCCCTCAAAATGGGAGGACGCAGAGAGATGGATCTTCAGCCCGGTCTCAGGAGATGGGGTTGGGAGGTCACCGATGCCCCCATCACAACATAGGCGGCCCAAGTCGAAAAGTGGTCCGCTTGGAGCTCCGGCTGGAGTAAGTGGGACTTATTCATTGGCTTCACCGCTCGTTCCTTGCTTTGATAGTGGCAGGGTCGGAAATTTTGCAGCGAACTCACCTTTCCTAGCAGGAGTTTTGATTCCCGAACGAGGTTTTTATTGCAATGGTAGTGGAGGAAGAGGAGTTGGTGATGGTGGAGGAGGAAGGGCAGGAATAATAGGAGTTGGCGGTGTCAGTGCCATGGGTGGGAACAATTCGGGTAACGGAGAGCCTTATATAGTCCGATCTGCTAGCATTCATGGTTGGTCTGATACCCTGATCGAGTCATCTTCCTCAGTTCCGAGCTCTCAGGGTACTGGAAAATGTTCTTTCATTTCACTTATTTGCTATTTTGATCAAACTTTCCGTTTTTGGCATGGTCATATTGTTCCTAAGCAATTATCATAACCCATAGGCAAGGAAAGCTTGTGTCTCAGAGTACAATATCCTAGACATCAATCTTAGTTATCCTGATTGCAACACCCCGCTGACATACCGTTTTAAGGGTTTTATATGTCTCCATGCGTACAATGAGGTTTATTTCCATTTCACTTTACACTATTAATAAAGTAAATGAGTGCTGTTTATTAAGTGCATAGTTATTTTTATGATATAATTGCAACTAGTGCTGAATACTTTTGTTTCTTTTTTTGTTAAAGATAACTAACAAAGAGCTATAAGAAATCTTATTATAAGATTTATACATCGCTCTACTGTTATTATTTTTATTAAGGATAATTGGTAGAGAACCATTTAAATTTTAAGAAACAAGCAAATATCACGATCAACAAGCCTTGTATGAAGTAAATTTTTTGCAGGTTAGGTGAATGTTGAGGATTTGTGTATACTAAGTTTTTACTTCTGCCTCCAAATTCTGTGAGAGAGAGTTATTTGACTAGCAGAGTATGTTTCTAAGATGATACACTAATATCACAATTTAGAAGCCACATATAATTGCATGCCATCTGCACATAATTACACATCCATACTTTTCTCATGTTATTTATTTTCAATTTTTTATATCTTGTATAACTTTACATGCTTTATATCTGTGCTGTACTGAAACTTAATTGTTCCTGTTGGAGGAAAATATTTTATTGTACACTACATATAACATGTTTCATGTAAACTTCTGTTTAAATGCTTTGCTGGCCATCAGTCACGTAGTTATTCAATGCTACATGTTAATGCAAAACAAAAAATATTGATTATGATCATGACAAATGGTTTCCATTTTCATGTTGCCTATGAGTTCTAAAGAACATTCATTATTTACTATTTTATTGTCATAAGGTTGTTGCCAGTTCCATCTATCACCTGATGCTTTCCATTAGCTGAGGCATGTTACACCTCCGTATTCTTCTCCAGTTATCTTAGTATTAAGTTCCTTGGGCTAGTGGTAGCTTACCTTGTAAACTTTAGCACACTTTTTTATACATGCATATGCTTTTAAAGTATCTTTGTATAACAACCTTATGCCACAGTTCTATTACATTTTGTTCCACCTTGTTGGATATATTCAAATGTATTAAGCAGGACTGTGCTATATGTGGTGGCATAAAGAGCATAAATATTGTCCTTTTAAGGTCTTAAACTTACCAAATTCTCTTTGGATCCGTATACAGATGAGAAAATTGATGGTACCATAGAAGCAGCCTCTACAGTTTCAACCTCAATTTTGAGGAAGGATGTGGCAACACAAATGAGTCCAGAGGGAAGCACTCCCTCCTCTCCCAAGGAGGGACCGTTTTCCTCGTCTCCGGCTTCAGTTCCTCCCATTGAGGAGGTAGAGCGCCACTTCTCAAAGATTGAGATTAGGGATGTGGAGGTGGATGATCGGGTTACAATGACCAGATGGTCCAAGAAACACATAGCACGTGACTCTGATAGGCATCCAACAAGCATCATAGAATGGAAGAAGAGGACGGCGGAGGAAAATACAGATGCTTGGGTAGTTGCTGAGACAACAAGATCCATATCAAAGTAACATCATCATCATCGTCATCTGTTTCTTTGTGTTATTTCCATTAGTTAATTTTTATATTATTCATGCAAGAGATTTTGAGGCAAATTGTAGTAACAATGCTCCTTATCTTTGAATGGTTTCTAGTGACACCAAGTCACTGCTAGAAGGCAAGGTGGGTGTTTATCTTACTAATGCGGTCACTGCCTGCACCATGAGATTGTGCACTGTCTCTGGTAGAGAATTAGAATTATAACCTGAACAATTGCCTGACAGTGACTAACTTGCAACAAGTGACTTTCTTTAGTAAACTTTTAATCATTTTGGAAGAGTATGCAGCATGTCCAAATCAAGATAGCCATTCTCTTCATTCAATGATGTCTAATCATTTTTTTTCTATTGAAAACTTGTTTGTTTATACTTATATAACATTACATGATAAATATCTTTTTTCAGGAAATAAAAACTTTCTTGATGCATTTCACCAGATTTTGTTTACATGATATTGATAGTCGCAATATTATTTTTCTGATTATCCAATTCTCTGACTCCATAACATTTTTGGAAGGCATAAGAGAGAGGAAGCCAAGATTACAGCTTGGGAGAACTTGCAGAAGGCAAAAGCAGATGCAGAGATCAGGAAGCTAGAGGTGCTTTGAACTTACGTAGTTTACCTTGTTATGCTGAAGACTGGAGTTTTCTAACTAATCTTCTTTCTTAGCTTTCTGAATTTTGTATTTTACATGGCTTTATTGGATGCTTTGCACATTTACAAAGCACTAAATCTTATTACAGATGAAACTAGAAAAGAAAAGATCTTCTTCGATGGAAAAAATTATAAACAAACTTAGATTGGCTCAGAAGAAAGCTCAGGAGATGAGGAATGCAGTGACTCCCAGCCAAGTCAACCAGGTACCAAAGACTGCCAGAAAGTGTCAATACTTCCGTAAGCGTGGGCAGATCAGTTCTCTGAGTGGCTGCTTTACTTGTCATGCCTTCTAGTCCTCCTTAGTTTCCACTGCAAACCTTTTTAAAATCAATGCTTGAGTAAGTTGATCATCCAACATGCAATTTTGAGTTCTTCATTTACTCAAATTTTCTTTTTGCAAAGCTTGGTGCTGTTAGTTAGAGTTTGGGTTTATTAAAATCAGGAGAGGTATCCATCAGCTTATTATTGTTGAATTGCAGTGGTGTAGATTTTGATAATCAAATAATCATTTTCATGGAACAAACATGATCTATTTAATTGGCAGATTTTGTGATTTATGGTTTGCATGTGGGATCATGGGATCTCCTGTTCCTTCCCAATTTACATGATTATTGTTTTTCACTCTTTGGTCGGGTTTGCTGGCGGCAGTTGTTTTAATGGACGAAAGACTATGTATCATGTGGTACCGTGTGACCAGCAGGTGTTAGATATGCATTTTACTGTTTGGGTCTGGGATCATTTGTGCATAATCAGGGACAACCAATTTTATCTTCGTATATAGTATCTGCAAAGAAGATTTATGGTCTAACAGAAGTCAACCATATTGTTGTATTTCACTAAAAGTCACCTCTCATTTCAATGAGTAGCTCAAGTTGTATTTACATATTTTAACATATTTTATTTGCTTTTTCAGTGAGAGAATTTATTGGTTGGTTCACTGTGTATCTAGCAACAGAAATTGATTCAATAGGTCCCATGATGCTAAGGTCATATGCATTCAACTATATAACTTGAAATACATATCTACTCTTCTAGTTTTCTTTTATGTTTGCTGAGATTACTGCATTTTTACAAAATTGTTTTTTCTTTTTCAAAAATGGCATCTTGTTTTTGTTGATGGCATGTAAATAAGCAATGGAGTCTGTGAGCAGAACTGGATTTGAACAACAATGTACTACTTATTGGCATCCATGAAAATCCTAATAAGTCTGCACTCTGCAAAAACAGTTGATTCTTGAAACACAAAACCAATAGGTTGTCACAATCACTTGAACACTAGGGAACAGTTGCAGCATTTCTTTATTCTTATTTGCCAAAACTGCTAATAACACATAATTGGATTAATTATAGAAAAAGGATCTTTCTGGCAGTTATTTCTTTTTTCTCTGAAACTTCACTTTTTTTTACCAAGTTCACTCTCCAGCAAGCTGTAGTTATAACTCTCCAGTCCTTCATACATAAATTTCACCATCTAGACTACACTTAGTAAATTGCCTAATAGTGGTTTGCAGTTTATTATACAGTCTTATAGCCCAATGTTAGGTCTGATATGAAGGCTTTATCAGTAATCCCCTAGGACTTTGTGGTTCAATGCTTTTATTGTAATTGTGAATGATTATATTAGAGATCAAATATTCTTATGTTGCACTTCTGTTAACTAGTTTTTTCCCCCCTTTGTAGGTAACTTATTTTGTTATGATTCCCCGAGATGGAGGCCTGGGAATATTTGTGCTTCATAATATATCAGAATCTGCTCTCTCTCTCTCTCTCTCTCTCTCTCTCTATCTATATATATATATATATATATATATATATACTGTCAGGCTGTTGGCTAGTTTCAGAAGAAGCCACATTCATTTTATGCTGTTCAGTGAAACATGGTTACAATTTACAAATACATATAAAAAGGGTACCTCTTCTGGAACTGCAAATAAAGGTCCCTCCATCAAAACAAGGTTAAGAAAGGTGAAATGAGAACTTCTTTTCTTCATGAACTACACTAGATATTGAGATGAATGCTTATTGTGCATAAAAAATTGCACCATTCTCATGTTTGTCTTGTGGATAGGCTTGCACTAGGTCATAGCTTAAAAATGTCCAACGTGGGTTGAGAAATATGAGCTGCAAGGTAGATCCGTAGCTACTAGGAAATATGTTTTTATAGTAATTTCTGGTCTTGAGGCGGTCATTGAGCTAAGCTGAGATGGATTTGCCAATTTACTAGGTTAATCAAGTCTATCCTAGTATTCACAGGTTACAATTATGGAAGAATTTGTTTCCTAGAGTTCAGGTTCTTTGTTTGATTTTAGTACACCTATCATAGTTTGATGAGTTAGTGCCACGGATTTGCAGTCTAAGCTTTCGTGATAATTATACAACAGAGTCATGGTGCACATGTGGTTGTCTTTGACACGGAATACAATAATGGGCTTGATGAATTGGCATATATGTGATGGTTTTCTTGCTCCATTCTCTCCCTCGAATGATGATCATACCGACTAATCTAAACAATTTGGATCTATCATGTGTGTTGGTTTGCTTTGTCCTGCAATCCTCTTATGTGATGATATGTGCTGTTTCCTTTTAGATTGGTTATGTTTTCGGTGACGCCGCAGTTGGTCAAGTATGATATTATTGCAATTTTTGTCAATTATGGTGCTTCAGTTTTGGTATTTATCTGTTCTTGATCTGGATTTATGCCTTATATACTGAAATTAAAAAGAGCTGTATCGTTTAGTCTTTTAACAAAATACTGCTCAGCTGCACTTGTCAAGTGTTTTATCTTGTTTTGGAACTAATTAGAAATAATGATCATAATTGTTATTATACTAGAAATGATGATCAATTACAGTTCTTAACTTGGTAACAGTGGCAGCTAATCAGTGTAATCGTTGTTATAATTATTTTAGAATTGTCATGTTAAATAAGATAAGACATTAATATGTTATTGTTGTTTCATGAAGTTTCATCTAATTGAAATTGATTGTGATTCGGATAATATCAAATGCTATTCCTCCTCGTAATAATACTAATTGTTAATTATAGAATTTAAATGTTCATTCATAATTGCTATGATAGATTTCAGAAACACCGAAAGTTACCTTTTATTTGTCAAGATGATTGGCACCTAACTCTTTCTATCTGGTACATCAAAGAGTCCCTTTCTTTCTCTACTTACCATGGTTTGGAACAACAAAAGATTAGTGTAGATATGGTTTGGAATGATTCAAATAGCTCGGCCATTAGTGGAATTGAAATCAGATAAACAAATTTGTGGGTACTTTATCTATTGAGATGTCTAAATGTTTTCATCAATGTCAGGTTGATATCTCTTTTTTTTCAGCATATTCTATCAAATTTCCAAGTTAAATTAGAATGTTCATTGATTATTCTTATATGAGCAGGTGAACATAGTACTTCAAAACGTGTGTTTCCTTTCCAATAGGTAGATTTTGATGTGGCCTTCCGACCAGCTACCATTATAAATTAATGTTCATGCTTTTATTGACATGAGTTGTGTGAGTGTGTCACACGGAATTAGGCGTGTGAAAGAAAAGTCAAGTTCGGCAGGTGATGATGCTAAGGAGACGGCATTATTAGTTTATATATCCTGAGTGGAATTAAGGGTAATAACATGTCTATGCTTGAAATATGTTTTTGGATTGTAGAGAACAATTTAGACTCAAAGATATACCCAAAGCATAGTCAACAAAAGGCTTGAATCAAGATAATTTTTCAATTTTCATTGATATTAATGTTGATATGGCTACTGTTTTAATCAATTCGGGTTCAACATTGGATATCAATCAGTCCAAATATATGATGCATAAATTAGATCCAGGTTCTAAACTTACCAAATTAATATTGTACATATTCCCCTACTTCAGTATTCTATACAAATTCAAAAAACGAATAGGAGTGAATCAATTATTCTGAGCATGATGCAATTAGTACGTCTATTTTCTTCCAGAAAGGAAGAAAAGAAGTTTCTTAAAGTAAAAGTAATATTACGGCATAGTGGTTATGGGTGAAATATCAAAGCCTCTCAGTCAAAAAGCCTGAAAAATGTAATATGGTAGGTGACTTGGTTTATGATCAACAATAGGCAATGAAAAAAGTGGTGCCTGTTAATTGTGTAAGATATGACCATTTCTAATGTTTATGGTAAGTGATTTGACTTCCATTGTTCATGTTGTAAAAAGCAGAAGCTTAACTTTCAACAAAATTTTAATTGTCTTTGCCATTATGTCAAATCTGCTACTTTGCTTGTTCACCAAGATATGACTGTCCCAAACTTCATATTTTCACTATATTTAT